AATTCCCTTCTTGCCTTTCTAGTACAGAGTAGCTTCCGAAATTTCGTTTTGAGGATTTTGCGATTCCCCTCACCTTAGGTTGCTTGTACTAGAAGCTATGCTTCCTCATACGTAAGTAGACGAAATGTTGACGAATGGCAGTTGACTGGTCGAACATTTGCACACCACTTTCGGTTCATAGACAGAGCTTTCGTCCGATTCTAGCGGCAAAGCCTGTGGTCATTGTCGATGCAGTCTTTGCCGTTTCCCGTCGCATTTGAAAACACGTGTGCATCTTTCACTCGATTTACGTGGCATGATTTATTCCGTTAAGCCCTATTCACAACCGAAAAGTAATATATTATATTCAGTGATTTGTTGTTAGTCTGCATGACCTCATTCGCACTATCGATTGGATTTGATAATGATAAATGGCATCCAGGTATACCGCTGAACGGTTTGAAATTGATTTCATTTCTGGTGATCATCTGTCGAGCATCGCCGAAAACAAGGAGAACTGCTGTTCAGGGCTGATCGCTTTCTAACCAAACTGTTGTCACTTAGAAACGTATAATTATTGCCCATTGCAGTCTTATAGCCGTTTGTGACGTATTTTAGTTAACGAATTTACTTTTAATTATTCGTCGAATTACACTTCAACAAAGCCATTAAATTGGTTGCTTGTTTTCGTTGTTGTTTTTTTGTTAGTTATGCTGAGTTGCGAACGATTTCTTCTAAAATCGCATTAAAAATATAATTAACTATTCGCCATTTGTGTTTATATTCAAGTTTTATTCACTTTTTGGTTTCAGTCGTTTATTGTATTACTTCATTTATTGCTCGAACAGCTTCACAGTTTTTATAGCTGAATCCTGTGTTGAATTTGGGAGTGAAGTTAAGAGACAGAATAAGACCAGTTGGACCTTTTGCTCGGTTCTGTTTATCTCACATATGGTTGTCTATTTCTCATAACTCGTAGCGTAAATTCGCTACCAACTTCGAATCACGTAGAGTACTGTTATTTCACTCTGTATAGTCAGGCTAACTGGTCACCTGTATTGATGTTCTGTACGCAAAACCTGGTGTCAGAGATTCTTAATAATCACGATTCTTGAAACCGAGGCGAACCAAGTCCTCCATAAGCTGCTTTTACTCTGTTTTGTTTTTTTTTCTTATACTGTCAGTATTTTGGAATGGCAAACGTACCTGATTACACATTTATTTACTAGCATAGCATATATCTTTTGTGGGGGATTCGCTCGGCGTTAATCCACTGTTCACCTGCAGATTGGGGTTGCTAAGTCAGTGAAGTATTCCACCTGTAACATAGAGGTCTCAGGGTCGAACCTCAGTCGGGTCACTCTCCTCGCTTTCTTCCTAGGTCGATATATGAGTACCCACTAGCTACTTCGTGGGAAGCAAAAAGGTGAGTACACATTACAGTTGTCACTTAGCTGTGCAGACACCGTATTAAAAATTAGACTCGCAGGCTTATGGCATGGAAACAAAGATTATTGTCACACCATCAACTTCATAAAAAGAAGCACGTTATAATTGGCCTCCAATCACGGAAGTGTAAGAGTGACCAACGTCCGAATAGTAGATTTTTTCCTTTCTCGCTGCACCTAGTCACCTAGGGAATGCTCTAAACAGGTCGACCCATCACGGTATGGGAATATTTGCGGTGCATAGACGGAAAGCAGCTTTATCATGAACTTGTCCTTGTTCGATGAAATACCGTGATTAGCAACGCGGCGATGCGTTCGAACTCTGCGAATCCGGGGAACTGATTTGTTTATGTTTTGTTTTTTGTTCTTGAGCACGGCTTGAGACTTTGGATTACATTAGCTGAAGTTGCATAATTCCCCGTATCATCAAAGCTGAAGTATAAGCTTTGTTAAGCGAGTTGCAGGGTTTTTGCTTTTAGGATCTTCCATAAGCCTATATCTTCTCGTCGTCGGTGATATTATTATAAATTAATAGATTAAGTAAGAAGCTTCCGAGTTCGTTTGATATTCGGCTTGTCAAAGTTTTGAGATTGTCGCAAATAGATTGATTTCGTCGTTGCGCAGTGGGAGCAGTTTTTGGGTACATGTTTCAAACCGCCGACGTCAAAATTCGCAAAAACTGATTTCAGATCGATTGCTTGTTATTTTTTGTTGTTTTTTATTTCCCTACTCTCGCCACTAATTAATCTTTCCTCCTGCATACCGCGCGCAGTACTGCATTAGCGTAATAATAAAAAAAATTGTTAACGCACTTCTAGAGAACCATGCCCGTCACCAGGAGATGACGTTACCATTCTTACGGTTTAGTGGCCGGGCGTCCAGATGAAAATGCGTAGATTCATGTTAGTTCTGCTTCAAAAGGAGTATAGGTCTGCAATTAGATCGAACTGACAAAGCCATTCGTGGAATGTTTCGTCGTCGAATACGATTGTGATGCATACCACTGCTAATGCGAAGATTTACCAAAATAGAAACAAGTTCTAAATCTAAAAGGGGCATATAATATTTTCAAGTCTGTATTCACAACAGAGAAAGAAAAGATTTTCGATAAGACACTCCACTGGAAAGACCTGCAGTTGAAGGAAGATCTCTGAGCACTGTTGAAGCCCCCTGCGATTTGTCGACGATATTCCGATTCTCTAAATGTCGTTAACAGAAGTCCAAAGAAGAATACAACAGCCGAACGACGCCAACGTGAGAGTATAGTTAAAAATGAATCGGAAGACGACAATATGTATAGGTGACTATGCGACTTGGTAAAATCAGCGCAGTTAGGCTGGAAGGAATGCAAAACTGTGGCTCTGTGGCATAGCTCTTATCTGAAACAAATGATCAAATGTATAAAATCAGCGGAAGGTTGAAAATGCCATTGAGCCATTTTGGAAATCAGAGATATTCTTATGCGGGCAATTTGCCTTGTGCCTGAAAGGGAAAGTATTCTATAAGTTTGTGCTCTTATTGCTGTTCTGTTTATGCGAAACATGAATCATAAGCTTGAAGACTATTCATAAACTACAGACAAAGCAACCCAGCATGGAAAGATCTATGTTTGAAATAATAAAGAATGATAAGAAAAGTAATCATTGAATAAGAGCACGAATAAATGTCTGTAATGTCATTAACTGAGTGAAGAAGTTAAAGTGTCAATAAGCTGGACACGCTGCAGGAATAACAACCATCGTTGCACCAGAGAGATTATTCAGACTGGACTCCAAGTGACAGTCGTCTGTGCATGGGAATATCTCCAAATCGATGGCGCGATGAACTGAAATAGTTCGCTATACAGGGATGAATATAAATGGCAGGAAACAAAAGTTTATGACAAACTTTTACAGAAGTGTTAATGCAGCAGCGAATCGAAAAAGACTAATTAATGCTGATAATGTAGGTATGCAAAGAGACATATTCGTTACATGTGGTGAAAGATACTTAACTGCGGTGTTTGCTTCTTTCCGATCAATGTTTCAAGGTTACAGTTGACAGGTACGGTGTTGGCGCCTTTATTTATCGACACCACATACCCAGGTCACCGGGATTATAAGGTACATACGAGGTGGCAGCATGTTATGCAAAATG